GCTGACCGTGCCGTACCAGTCACGTATGCATAAAAAAAAAAAAAATTACATGTACAAGCTCAAAAAGTAATGTCAACTCGTGGCCGGTCCGAGGAGAGACAAAGCCTACGCAGTAAACATTTTCGCCGTCGGGGTAGGCGCTAGAGGTCTTATCTCTACTTCCACGTACAATGTGCTAAAGCAGCTGGGTTTGCGAGGAAACGAGCGTAAACGGTCACTAAAATAACTGGGCGAAGCTGCTAAAAGAGCTTCGAGCTGGCTCTGGACGCAACGGAACATCGTGAAGGATAGGCCTCGGCAGACTGGTCCAAGTCCCTAGTGGCATTGATAAATGTCTGTCAGTGTCTCTCTGTCAAATGCCAAAGTCTAACAATTGTCTGATTAACCAAACATAAGCTTTTCACTCTGGTCGTGAAGGCGTAGTCAGCGACAATGTAACACCAAATCTCACAGCAACTGTTACAAAATCACAATATTGTCTTGTCCCTATCGAGTCCGATGAAGTGCAGCAGGGAAGGATGGAGGCCTGGCTTCACGACACCTTCTGAGATTGTCTAGGGAAGTAAAAGGCCGAAACAATCGTCAACGAATGATCTCTCTACAGATGATCAGTGGATCCCTGCTGTGCATGCTCCCGTGTGAAGTTCTTCTTATTCTTCTCCAGCATTCCAAGCCCTTGGGGTTCAGAGATGCGGATATCACCGCCTCCATTCTTCTCTGGTTGGCCTTCTCTTTCCATTTGGTTACAACAAGTGTTTGCTGGTCTTCTGGACATTGTCTTTTCATATCTTCTTGGTCTACCTCGTGGTCCACGGTGACTCTGATCCAATGTGGGACCTGTTCATGTTTCCAGGCCCAGGATTAGAGTAACTTCCCTTGCCATTTATGGCTCCTTAGGTCGCTGGACCTTTCCTATGTAGCGCAGGCGTCATGATATGGCTTGATTTAGCATTGTTCCACGAATGTAATGTTTGTGGGAGGTTGTGTTGCTGCGAGGCTATTTCAGGCGCTGCAGATACATTTGCACAACTACGAAGTACTGCAGGGGGGGGGGAAGCCCTGCAGGGGCGATGATTCTTGGCTATCGAAACTGCGATGTTTTTGTATTTCTATGTTCATTGGCGGTGGCTTCACCCGAGAGAAAGAAAGCAGTGACAAGGAGGGTAGAAATAGAAAAATATTGTTTCAGTTTGGAATCATTTCACATGTGCAGCAATGTGCGGTGATTATTTTGATAACCCATGCCCCATTCAATGAAAAATCTGCAACTCACGGGAGACTTATGCTGGAGATAAACACTTGAGAGTGACACACCTATAAAAAAAATATGCTGTTTGCTTTGAATTAGTTTTGTTTTTCATATACTGCAAATAAGGCCACATGAAAAATAGACATATGTTTACATTTTTAAAAATTTCAGCAACTTACACCAAATAGTCACTGAGTAAGGAATTTGTAAAGTTCCACAGGACTTCTGGGACGGAATATAGTTAGGAGTTTCCTTCTAAGTCTGAGTGCATCTGCCTGAGATGCAAGGAACCAACAGTCTGCATATAAATAAGCTAGATCTGTAAAGGGATGTGAACATAACACTTACATTCTGGAGCAAAACTAAAGTCCAGCAGTGGACGAGAAATGAGCGCTTTCTGCTGAAGTTTACAGCCGGTAAACCAAAAAACAAAAAACACGAAGAACATAGTGTAAATATACTTTAATAAAAAGATTTTTTTAAGAAGTGCTTCAAGCCTGCAGAAGGCTTGTTCTGAGACAAAAGAAAAGATCTTACCACTAAAAAACATTTGCATAATTCTCTGCAATATAAAGATAAGTATAAAGATAGTAAAAGTGAGTACCCTAATTCACTATGGTAGAGTAAGTGTTGGTACTCCACCTCAACTAGTTTACAAAATCCTCACAGAGATTATATATACTGATGATAATTAACAAACTTTATAAATCTAGGACTGCAAGTATACATCCAATAAATCTGCCCACATTGAATACCAATGTTCGGGATATGTGCCGGGCCAGCATCCAACACCAATTACTGCTGGCTTTTTTATCATTCTCTTCAGATTTAAACACACACACACAAAATTTCCTTCACTTCTTTTAACACCACCAAAAATATTATAACAGCTATCTCCCTCGGCTGAAGGCTATACACTTGACTTTGAGTCCAAACTCGTGTAGCGTATCAGTTATATCATTTGTAACTTTTTCAGCTGTTTCGAAGTCAGAAAACAAAACTTTACAAAGTTGATAACTCATGATAACACAGAGTGTTTCGTGTTGTCTTGAAAAATTGTGAACAAATCTTAGAATGTTCAGAATTGTTTAGGGATGCTTAGATTTACTCATGTAATGAGGACACGTCTGCAAAAATCATGACGTCTGGCAACCCTAACATAAGTGCGTTTATGTGTATATATATATATATATGTAAAGATAAGTATAATAATATATTTATAGGAACAAACAGTAAAAAAAAATATGAAGTCCATAAAAAAATACGTAAAAAGACTTTTCTTCTATACATAGTTTAGAATTATTTAAAAAAAAAGGGGGGGGGGGGCTCATCTAAGGACTTAAGCCAACATTTTCAACTGCCCACAATTTACTTTCGACACGAAGGTAAAAAAAACTTTTCGATGATTTAATTCTTTAAGGCCCAAACAACGGTGTGAGTGTAGTTTGAGAAGTTCCGTTCTGCCCAAACAACGGTGTCATCGTTAATCGTGTATATCTCTTACATTTTGCTTCGTATGCGCGTTCGTACTAGTTTCTAATGTTTGGAGGTATGAAAAACCTATTCAGGGAAAGTCACTCTGCCAAAATCCTTTTAGATTCATTTCTTGGACTAAACCACACGTGGATAATTTGAGAGGAAAAAAACATCAACATTTTTTTAGCAGTTTATTTTCTAAGTTCGTTTTTGAGTGCACTGAATACCAATGTTCTAACCACAAGAACAGGTCGCAGAATGCGTCTTTCTGCGGCCGAAGCTCTGAAATTGTTTCAGTCAGATGTTTTTTAATTGTGATAATGATAATAAAAATTTAGATTTTTCGGAAAGTGATTCGGACAGTGAATTTTCACCAGTGAAGCTGAGCGATCAACTGTTCGGAATCTAGCGATTCTGACGAGTTTATTACACAGACAATGTCCCATACTACCGTATTTATGGTGTAAGAGAAGGAAAGTGCTTTAAATAAAGAGATAGTACTATACTATGGCTAAGCTACATTGAAATCATCGCAGCTACAGTCTGTAAATAACTGTACAAAGTGAATAGTAAATAGTGTGTGCGCTATGGCACATTTTTCTGCAATTTTTTTTCTGAAATTTTGCTTAGCACTCAGTGGGAACTAAGAGCCCCTGAGTGATAAACTAACCCAGAAAGTTATCATAACTTTAGAATATGTTAGAAAATTGAACAAACTTGGAAGTTTTGTTCTCAAATTTGGATATTTACTATTCTTGTGGCTGCAAAACCATGGTAAGTGAAGAATTTTTGTGTGAAATGTTGTCCTTGTGAAATTAACACCTGCTGAATTCTTCTTTTCCACTAACTATAACAAAATCAAACAAACACTTATCATCAGATTCAGAATGTACACTCATTTTTCGTTTAAAAAATATATACTGTTATAGCGATTAGAAGTATATTACAATCTCTACAGCCTTTCTTGTACACCCACCCCTCTGCCATTTTTGTAAAGGGAAATTAATGTGGGCCAAGTCTGTCAAAATTCATGGGCCTGAAAGAGTTAAAAAAATCTTTATTAAATAAATTGTCTTCTTGTAAACTGAAACTATACACATTTTTTTTAATTTATTGACCCTTCAGACAAAACAAACACGGAATGGTTTGCACAAACATACACAGAAAATGTAAGTATTTATTTAATTAACATAGCGAAAAATAAATATAAACAAATTGTCTGACAGCAGATCAAGGCACACTGGGGATATTTTACAACACTTTTAAAGTGACTGAATGGCACATGAACAAATACAATTTATTTGCTTAGAATTAACATTTCTGATAACAGGTCTGTCTTACTTGTTTTTTCTATCATTCATGTTTCACAAGCCAGATGTGCATGTGTGTGTGTGCGTGTGCGTGCTCTCCCGTGTATGTATGTATACATATGTGAGTGCATATATATATAAGTGTGTGTTGTGTGCATGCTTGCATCTGTGCATGTGCACAATATATTTAAATGCATTTGTGACAATGTGTGTAATACACATATGTAAGTACAAAATGTACTTTGTGGCAGATGTAAGCATATTTTAGGCACTGGCGTGAGGCCTGTCTTTTTCCTCACCAACTTGCCTTAAACAAAAGATATTCCCAGAAAATTACAGCCATTATTCAGTTTCCATTTAAGAGACAGGGTGGACACCGGAAAGATACTGATTAACTCTTTCAGTATCAAGGAACTCCCCATGCATTCTTTGGTTACACTAACTATGGTACACATTTCTTTCCCTATCTAATTCTTATCCTATGTTAACCCTTTATTTTATAGTTAATATTATAACACCTTCTCGGCCAAAGCTGTATTATTTAGCTCTATGACTGACTGACTGACTTTCTACCCCACCAGGACATCACACATACGATAAACACCCGATGACACAATGTGCCACCATGTGGGTGAGGATCACCATGGAGAGGTCCCAGAAACAGCGTTCAGCTTTTAGGCCATATTTATGGCCAGGCTATATTGCGGCCCCTGGCAGGAGCCAGAGTAGGGCTTCAAAAAACTAAAAATTTCATCCTGAAAAGGACAGAGGTATGTACTGCAAGCTCTATGAGACTTAAAAAGAAATAAAGCTAAATCACTTAGAGTATGGTATTTTATTCACAAATTAAAAACATTTAAAAGTGGCTAAAACCAATTTCATACGCAATTTAACGTCATGTAAATCTTCAAGAAGACACAAAACGTTAAAGAGTTTCATTAATACAGCTACACAATATAAACATGTCATGGGTTCTCTGTCTCAAAGTACAGAGAGTTTTTCTTGCTTTTTCTGCCAGAGTAAACTATGGGTGATGGCCCTTTGGCAGAGCTGAGATTAATGTTGTCGAAATCTGCATAACCATACTTTTTGGTGCCGACCCCTACAAATCCATGTGCCGGAGCAGTGGGAATACTGACGTTGAACACTACGACACCATTACATGTTCCTGTAGCTAATGTCCCCTGAAAGAGACACAAAAACCAAACAAATATACACAGAGATTAGTTTTTTTCAATACTTATATTAGAAGAGCTGTGTTAGCAAAATGGCTAGACTCCTGACGGACGGAAAGGCAAAGGTTTAAATCCACATTAGGTGGAGTTTTTTAAATAGACCTTAGCTCTTGTATCGATCCAGCCTAAAATGGGTACCAGGTAATGTCCAGGGAAGTAAAGATGACCAATGTGATGCTGACCACATCATCGTCCATTAAGTACCAACTGTTCTAAAAAAATATTAAGGGTATTAAGATGGTCCTTGGTTTTTTTTTTTTTTTTTTTTTATATATACATAATTATCTGCACTGCAGTGAAATCTGCAAATTATTGAGAATATTTTTTATATGGTTTATAATACGTTTCTTTAAATGTGTGTGTTTTTTTCCAAAATAAAACTAATCTGTGTGTTAAACTCATACTGTACATAAGTCTTTGGATGTTCACAATTATTCATTTAATAAATGATACAATCTCAAACACATATGTAACAACATTTTATGTATGTGAATATCGAAAAACTGTTTCAATGATAATGAATCAAACTATTATTTCCTAAATTTACCTTAAAATTAAAAGAGATGAAGCTTTGTTATAAATTTTTGAAAGCAAAGGGTTAAGACAAATCTTTGGAACTATCGAAGAGACAAACAGTGGAGAATGGAGAATGAGAAGCAGCTACATAATTCGTAATCTTTTTAAATCATCACTGACCATCAGCATCAAGGGGGTTACTAGACTAAAATGGCTGATGCATATAGAGAGAACTGCAGACGGTAGAAAGACAAAAATTGTGTATACAAGGGAGTTGATTGGCTGTAGGCCACAAAGCAGACCAAAAAAGATGACAGAGTGGTAATATCCAAGTTAGTTGCGTATCCTTTACAGGACGTTGCAGAACCAACCCCAGCAGCCCCTGGCTGTTGTGTGGTTTCTTTAGGCAAATTTACGTCCAGTAGTTTGCCATTGCTTTCTGGACAGTCAGCCCCCTTGATACCCCTGTAGAAACCAACGCGAGGCGCATGGCCCGCAGCTGGGATCGAACCCGGCACCCCGACATTACGAAGCGTTTGCATCGACTTCGCCACAGAGCTGATGGTAATATCCAGACAGACCCATAAACACTTGGAAAATATCAACTGGAAAGAGAGGGTCAGTCACAAGATAAAGGTGGGTGATATCTGCAGCAATGAACCTCATCAAAATGCTGATGAAGAAGAAAACTTTCAAGGTAAATGCCAATTATGAAAGCTAATCAAATCAAACCTCTTCATTATTTGATTCATAGCATTGTTTTCCTGTTGTGAATTTTAATAAATGAGCACAGTATTTTGCAGTACTGATTGCCTGCCATATCTAACTGTATCTCTTCAGGTGGACACAGCATAATTTACATCAACATACACCCAAGCACAAGAATTAATTCTTTCAACTAAATACATAAATTACAGTTCTTCCAGTGAATGAATTAGATGATTTGTGCATAAACTGAATCTGGAGCAGCTGAGTGAAACTGTTAACAAACTAACTGTATAAAGACAAAACAATAAGATGTGTTTATGCATCAAAAGATGCTTACATCAAAAGATATAAGCTGAAAGAAGAAATCATTAACATATTTTTATTATAAACATCAACCCATGTTAGCTGCTCTACAGTGTGTGTACTTAGTTTAGACAGGTTATGCGATTTGCAAGTTTCTGTAAGACGAAGGAAGAAATAAAATGAAAGCTAATCTACTCTTCATGCACTTACTTTTACAGACAGTGTCAGGCGGTTCCAGTCAGACAAAACAGCAACAGGCTTAGTGCTTGCAACAATAACATTAGCTCTCCCTGTTGCAGTAACACAAATAAAATCATAAAAATCACTATCTTCACACAGCAGTTGTTATTATTAATAATAGTTTAACTGTTTGTTTTTAGCTCTGTAAAACCAACAAGTAAATAAACAAATAAGTTATGCAGCGTAGAGGTTACCAGGATTTTTTATTTAAAAATTGACTTTGGCTGCAAGGTTAATGCGGCCTAAACTGGGTATTAACTGCATGTCCTGGGGAGTAAAGGTACCTGGTGTGATGTTTACCATATCATCCATGTATGCGATACATCTTTGGTTTGCCGACTGTTGCAGGTAGGCACAAGGTGCAGAAGCGAAGTCATATCTCAATGTAGCGGCAGACACAGACCACCCTTTGCACAAAGCTCTGGGTGCAGTTTAGGGTCAGCGGCTGACAAGAGGAAAGTCATGGATGGCTCAGGCAGAAGACACAATCAGACAGTTTGCATCCTTGAGAACATTAGACGAGGAGATGAGTGGGTCAAAGTGCCACCTGAACAGTCAGACTTGTGTAGGGTCATAATCACATTGAGCCCAGAATGCAGAGACTGGCCAGCAGGTGCCAAAGAGGTGGAAATTCAGCAATTAATTCAAGATAATGCTCGCTCGGAGAATGTGATTATTTACACAGACCGTTCGGTGTCAAGAGGCAAAAGAAGTGCTTGGGGTTTCTTAGCAAAAGTAAATGGTCGACGTTTGGTGCAGGAGAGCCTAGCATATGATACCACAACATCAAGCTTAATAATGGAGGTTCAGGAGGTCACTGCAGCTTTCTGCTGGTTAGAGAACATGACCCACAGATACATCGTGATTGTAACTGACTCAGAAAGCATGCTGAGGAAGGTCAGCCAGGCATGCTTCGGGCAGAGTGGCATGCTTCACTGCGGAGGACACAAGTAAGGAGATTTGTCAGGATTTTTTCTCTAGATACACCGGCGTGTTGGGAAATGAATAGGTGGGCAAACTGGCTGGCTCTGAACATCTTGGTGGAATACTGATGCAGGATAAAGCAGACATGGTTTGTGCCTTGTGGGAGAGCATGTACAGTTCAGAGGAGCAGATGGATCACCACAGTCTGGTGAGATTGATGCAGCGGGGAGTGACAAGGGGTTCTGGCAGATGATCGAGACTAAGAGGAAAGGCAAGACAGACATTTAATCAGAATGCTACTGGCACCATTACACCATTAGTATCGGAACTCTACACTGGCTGCTGAAGATAGGGATGAAGTGCTCATGGGAATGCCCTAAGTGCTGTGATGTCGGTTCTTGAATCAACTCAACTCAACTCCATCCAGTGCTCACTGCTCTATAAAATATAGATCTAGCACTGTAGGTCAAATTGTTCAACACATGGTCTCTAACTGCCTCTCCTTACTTTCAATTTTCCTAATTTCATTACCTCAAGGTTAGTTACGTATCGTTTACAGGACGTTGCAGCACCAACCCAGCAGCCCCTGGCTGTTGTGTGGTTTCTCTAGGCAAATTTACGTCCAGTAGTTTGCCACTGCTTTCTGGACGGTCGACCCCCTGATACCACTGTCGAAACCAACGCAAGGCGCATGGCTCGCAGCTGGAATCGAACCCGGCACCCTGGCATTACGAAGCGTTCGCATCGACTTAGCCACAGAGCCGACTCATTACATCAACATGTCCCAAAAACAGTGGATTGTCTTTTCTGATTTGATAGATAGGACACAACATGCTAAATGAAGAACTTCAAAAAGATCTGAAAATTCTCTGTGTGGGTTCAGGGGCTCTATTATGGGAAAACCAAGAATAGATCCATGGCCTCCATAACAAACATGTCATAAGAGTCAACTAATAAAGGGTTTCCTTTGAAGTCAGAGTGCATCTGCCTAAGAGGGAAGGAACCAAAAGTCTGCATACAAAGACGCCATATCTGTAAAACATGTGTGTATGCAACACTCAAGTTCTGGAACAAGGCTAAAGTCCAGAAGCGGATGAACAACCAGAGCTTTCAGCCAAAGTTTACAGCTGGTGAATGCAAAGAAGAAGAAAAAGAAGATTTACTGGTAAATTATTTCAATGATTTTCTTCTTCTTCTGTGGCACCTTAAAAAAAGGAGCGGTTAACATGTTCTGTTGTGGTTTACAGCCAGGACATGATCTCTGTGCCTTTCAGCCAATACGTTCAAATTCAGTAATCATGTAATTCAATCAATCAATCAGGTGCCATCTCCACAGTGAAGGTTGGCTGCAATGGATCTCCAACATCTTCTGTCTCTTGTCCTGGTTGTATATTCTCTCAGATTACTGTTTGTCCCTCTCATGATGTTGTCCTTTAACTAGTATCATTGTCTACCTCTAAGATGTAAGATAAGTATGGTTTTAAAAGTGTATTATGCCTTTTAACTCTTTGAGTCCCAGGGGGTTTAGCATCAGAGGCCCAAGGGGTAGTCAAAAGAGATGTCAAATCGGCGCATCTTGCATTCATTGGGCCTCTAGGCAGGAACCTATGAACGTATGATGCGTTCCTTGGGACTCAAAGAGTTAATGTTCCCAAAATTTTTCAGTTGTCTCTTTTGTATTTATTTCAGCAATTCTCTTTCCATTCCCAGTCTTTCTAGAACCACTGTATTAGATTGTTTTTTGTTTCATTTAAAAATGACTTTTCTTCTGTACATCCATATTTCTAGGAACTCAATTCAGTTATCTAGTTGCTAGTTCATTGTCCAAGTTTCTGCATCATACACAAGGTTGAGTATACATACCATCTGATGATTATAATTTTTAATGTGTTGTTTATATCTCTAGCTGTCAATAAATTAATCCTTTTAATGAAGACAGTTTTAGCCATCCTTTGTATCCTTTTGACTGCTGTTTCCTCTGCATTATCCTTTTGACTGCTGTTTCCTCTGCATTATCCTTTGGACTCCTGTTTCCTCTGCATTATCCTTTTGACTTCTGTTTCCTCTGCATTATCTTTTTGACTCCTGTTTCCTCTGCATTATCCTTTTGACTCCTGCTTCTTCTGCCTACCCTTAATTATTTGCCTTGTTAGGGAAGTGGTGAATCTTTTCTTTTTTTTTTCTTTCCCAAAGTGGGGCCCCAGAACACATCGAGGGGTTCAATGATTTTCAAAACTCTAGCGCCAACAGAAAATTATAATCAAACCAAAATGAAGCAATTAATTAATCTACCTTGAATGTTTGTAAATAGGCCTCAAGTACTGGAGTCTCATACTTTAAGAGTTAACAAACTCACAAATAAAACATGATGACCAAAAAAAATATACTCACTGATGTCATCTGAGAGCAAAAACAAATTTTCACCAGGTGAAAAGTAGTAGAAAATTCCTTGTGCTGCATATGTATCACAACCTGCTTTGTCAATTCTGACAGCAATAAACACTCCCCCCGATCCATTGACTGCACCGATTCTGACATCAGCAGCTATTTCTACATCAGTCCTGGTTGTCAAAAAAAAAAACACACACACGTATCAGCATATGGTTCCCATGCCTTTAGCACAGTATAATATTAGCATCTGGAAAGATGGTAATGTGCCAATAATAACAACAACACAATTTTGAGAAAATAATATTTTACTTCTATTTACGTAAGTACAGAAGCTTGCTTAACCTTCTCTCGTTATAAGTAACTTTGTAGTTGAGGTTTCGACTTCACTGCAGTCAGATCACCCAATACTCGCTCCATTCATGTGCCAGTGAAAATCAAATGAAATGTCCCTCCCTGTCCCATTTGAAAAACCAGTGAACAAATAATTAGTCCCTGCACAGTCTAGAATATGCGCACACACTAAATACATATGGCAGTTGCTGGAGGTGCCAAAGCCAACAGTCGCCATCAGAAATGGAAGTAGCTGGACTCAATAAGTTGGCTAAACTAAAATTATTACATAAGGTATTTCACCAGCCCCATATATGAAAACCGGCTACTGGCCATATAAAACACCACGACTCAAACGCTGAATAAATAAAAGGCATTCCACATGAAAAAAACTGCTCACAGTGCTGCATTAAGCACTAAACTGTAGCCCAGGCAGTGAAAACAAAGTAGCTTGTGTCACGAGAATATATACCTTTAAAATATACCTAACATATCTAGAAGAAAAAAGTTAGTTGCATATGTTGTATGGAAGACTATAGAACCAACCCTAGCATTTGTTAACTGTTTGTGATTTTACAAAGCAGTTTTACATTCAGTAGTTTGCCACTGCATCCTGAACAACCGGCTGTCTATATCATTGTTAAAATCAAAGCAAAGTGTTTGCTGCCAAATCACCTGCGGCTGGTATCAAACCTGATATCTCTGAATTATATAAGTGTTTTTATTTGCAACATCTAAACCGCAGAGGCTGATTTCCCTGGCATATACTGTTTTCATTCCATACTATTTTCCCTGTGTGGGTTCTGGGGTGCTGCTATGGGGAAAACAAGAATACACCCACTGCCTCCCCATCAAGAATGCTGTTAGTCAACTAATTTGGGTCTTCCGTCAAAGTCAGAGTGCATTAGCCTGAGAGGTAAGGAACCATACAAAAAAGCCAGGTCTGTCAAATGTATGTGCATGCAACACTCAAATTCTGGAAGAAGACTGAAGTCCAGAGGTGAACGAACAACTAGAACTTTGTGTCAGAGTTTACAGGTGGTGAACATGAAGCAGAAGAAGAATATTCTATACTATTTTATTACAGTCTTGCCTTCCCTGATAGAAAACAAAACCTGAAGTCCCTAAAAGCTGTCTCCTGCCAAAAGTTTCTACCATATGTTATCTCAAATGATTCATTTATTGTATTTGCTGTTCTTATTTATTTCTCCAGTTCTCTCCATGCCATTTGCACTATTTTCCCTCAGTTCATTCAATGATTTGAAATTCCAGGTGTCAATACTCAAGATTTTCCTATGTGAAAACTGGACAGTCAGTGACACAGATTACTTTTAGTCATCACTAAGATGTTTGCTTATGCCAAGAATCATGTTGCATGTACGATGGGGACAATCAGGAGGGGTATAATGACAAAATAATTTTAAAAAATACAAACAACTGATTACAGGTCGGTTAAGAGCTCAGGGTTTAAATTTAAAAAAAAAAAAAAAAAATACAGCGATTGCAACATTGGCCCTGAAATTGCATACACTTATTGTAGAAGACTTTTTAAATAATGCAACCTAGCCTTGCTAGTATCTCGATAGTACAATGTGATACTATCATATAGAAAATTCAAAATTCTTACAACATTTGAAATGAACCCAGACGTAGACTTGAAGTTACGCTTTCAACTATCTTGAAATGATTCTGATTCAACTTGGAATGAGTCGATGCTTCACTTGGAATGAACCTTGGTTTGCACCGGCTTCAACGTCTAGGGTTGACAACACAAACGCCACTCAGCTTCTTTGTTAATGCTATCAGTTTATTCTGGTCCATGTAATCAACATGCTTAAACAATTATTCTCAATTCTATCACTCGCGACATATTCGAACACTAACCATTCTCGCGACATAAAGACGACATCTTCAATTACTACAACCGTCTTCTTTGACTTCTCATGATCGACTGACCACGAGTCTAGCTCAGGCTTTCCCTCGCTTCCTCGACTAGGCACAAGTATCTCGTGCCGTCCCTTGTTGCACGGACTTTCTGCTTGCCACAATGTACTCGTGGAGACCATGCAAAGCAGGGTCATCACAACATTCTAAAAGCAATTTTTAAAACTGCAATTCTGGTTTTTAATATCTTATGAGGTGCTGGATTTCCTACCCTCCCCCCCCCCCCTTTTCCCTTTTTCCGATTACTCAAAATTTCTAATTTGTTTTTAAGTTGCTTTTTTCCCCTTCAAATCTAAACTGTTATAAATAGCTATAGAAGGAGGCAGCTGATCAGACAGTCAACAGCAACTGGTGACCCGCTGACACAGTGTCATGGCACTATGATGATGATGCAATGATTTTTTTAGGGGGGGGGGGGGGGGTGTGTTTATAAAAGTGTAAGAGGAAACTAAAAATAAAAAAATATGAATGGTGTCATTTTGACATCATGAGTACATAGAAATATCTGCCATATTTACTAGTCTCTAGTTGTTTCAGGGATGAGTTGCCAACAACATTAAAGAAACATGCTAACAACCACAGAAATTATATGATTAGATGTTGATTAACCTACCACTGGTACCAGCCGAAGACATTGAGGGAAGCATTCAAGTGAAGTGTCTGTTCACACCAAACAATAGGAGGTTGCAACACCATTTGTCTCATAACTTTCCCATGCTGACCACCAACATCAACCACATCATACGAGCCTTGTTGAGGAGCAAACAGATATGGCTCTGCTGACAGCGGGTACTCTATCCAAAGAAAACAACAAAACTACAACACTTAATTCACTGCAGGCAAATCCAGATTTAAATAACTTGTTTTAAATGACATAATCAAACGACTGAGTGGAAGCAGCACATATAAAATATACACTGAAAACATGAAGAGCAACTCGTGTTGGAGCCTGGCTACAGTCTAAATGGCTTGCTGACCTCTGTCGCTCTAAAAAGTTATTTGTTTCCCAGCTAGCCCGGGAGTCCAAATGTTCCATCACCCAGATACTTAGCTGAGAGCTTGATGCAACACTATCAGCTGTGGATTTTATCTATAAATTTTTTTTTTTCTGTTGCCCTCTGTTGACTGCACTAAAATGGTGGGTGGTTTTGTTCAGAATAGTGTGTACTTTTGCGGGTGCAGTGCTGACTTTTGTGACTGACCACTGCACCAATTGTGAATTAGATTTATGTTGTAAGATCGTTAGTGCTGGCATATCTGACAGCTGCCATATGTATTTTTACTTTGCATGTGCAAACTTCAAGATTTTGCTGGTGAAACTGAGTTTTCCACTAGTTTTCACATGGAAAAGTGAAGGACATTTTGTGTGGTTTCCACTGGCACATATACAGAGCAGTTATGGGGTGACTCGTCTGGATGATATTAGAACCTTGACTAACGACTTCAATGCGGAGAAGGTTTTTGATATTTATGTTGATTTCTATGTCTGTTCTGTTAAACCTATTTATTGAAAAATATCTGAGTCTTCTCGATCTTTTTCTTCTTCAGCATTCGCCCTTAATAGGGTGGTTGGTATGTTGTGATGGGGTTTACAGATGCACTATGACTACAAAGAAAACCTCTCATTAGTAGACTCTTATGCTTGTTAAGGAGACAGTGGGTCTACCATTGGGGGGTCATTTTAAACACAAAATGTGTTTCAAATATTTATTTCCTAATTTAGGCCTTTTAAAAAAAGGGGGTAGGGTGGGGGGAAGGGGAGGGGGGGGGGGTCATTTTATACATGAGGCATGTTATACAGAGACAAATGTGGTAATTACAATTATTTTATTTAGGGAAGGGGTACAACATGAAAATGGAAATACAAAGAGGCAGAGGGAAACCTAGAAAGATATGGATTGAAGGTGTAACTACATCATAAGACTTCTTATCTGCACTGCAATCTAAGCAGCCGAGCGTGTCCTAACTCAGCTGCACCTCGCAGCACAAAGCAGATACTGACACACACACACATAAAGAAAGAAGTGAAAAAGTATGTAATAGAGGATCTTATATCCATATAATTATTGCATATTGGAGAAAAAAGTGCAATTTTAGCTGAGTAGTTTTTTTTATTCAGAATTTCCTTCACAGATTCATGGTCTAAATTCTCACCTTCAAATGTTTCCACAAATGGCAGTGGGAAGGGGGCAGATGGAGGTGGAGTAGGGTGTTCTCCATGCTGGCCGTCACTGACCGTTGTTAGTGTGTGGACAGTGTCTACCCCAACTGTGATGGTCACTTGTCCGTTTATGACCTGTTTATAAACAAAGAAATATTATCAAGATGTTGAAATGTTTTAAAAAAGGTTAATAAAATAGAGGTTGGTAGAAACTCATTACAGCAATGTGGATCAGACAATATTTCACCTGAGTAGTTTCCATGACCATATCTGGGATGGAGTTGGGGAGAAAAGGGGGGGGGGGGGGGGGGAGAACAGAACTATTGCCTCCCTATTAAGCATATCACACATTTTAAAAAAATGTAACTAATTAAAAATTTTCTATCCGAAGTTAGAGCAAATATGCATGAGAGGTGAGGAATAAACAGTCTGCATACAAATGAGCAGATCTGTAAAATGGCCATGCCTTAAAATTTCAAGCTTTGAGACAAAACTGAAGTCCATAATTGAACAAATAACCAGAACTTTCCATCAGAGTTTACAGCTGGTGAATGCTAAGCAGAAGAAAAAGAAAAAAGTAAAGTAACAGCCCCTTTTCCACACCTTTAGGTGTATTGGGAGTATAGGGCTAGACCTATATTTTTATAGACCAATCAGCAGTCGGTGGGTCATGTGGTCAGCAGCAAGCCAGCCGCCTTTACTTCCCAGAACTGCACCTGGTACCCACTCAAAGCTGGGTCAACCTGGGCGTTAAGGTTATTTCTGAAAAAAATTCCGGCTCTATCAGGATGTGAAGCCACGACCTTCCGATCTGCAGGTGGCTTCTAGCCGCCAACGCCATGGCGACACCTGAAGAAGATATGAAAACTAAAATTATTAAAAAAAACTTTAAAAAAATTATGATTAACACAGGCAGAAAGTAGGAACAGTGAATTTCACTGTTAATAAAGATACTAGAATAGGTAACAAGTTTCTTGTGAGGATAGGAGTGATCCCAAATATTTTTAACAGCATGAAAACTATAGTAACACCTAGAGAGATGATTATGTTAAAAATAATAATTAAAATATTGTTTGTACGTTTTACACTACTACAAGGTGTCGAAATGCTGGACAATTAACAAATAATTAAAATGTAAACTTCAGACCCTGGAGATATGTGGGTATACAGAGAAATTATGGCTGGACAGAACCAATCAAATACAAAAGTTGTACAGAGAGTGACAATGAAAACAGAGCTGATGAAGGAGGCCAATCATGTGAAATATTTCAGGTACATCTGAAAACCACACTGGTAGGAACAGTTAAAAGCAGACAGGTAGGTCTACATCAGGGAGAAAAAAAAATCTACATTCTTTGGTCATGTCATGAGATGGAGAAAACTGGAATACATTGTGACAGTAGGAAAATTGAAGAGGAAGGGGAAGAGGGAGACAGAGAGAGAATTACTTGGACATGTGATATCAATATCATGGCATGGAAGATATTCTGTCAGAGTTGACTGAAAGTACACAAGTCGAAGGTTGAGGAAAGACAAGGCTACCAATGCTACAAGGCATGGACTTTAAGAAGAAGATAGGTAAACAGTGAGAGAAGTAGGAGTAACAAGTAACTGGTAAAGTAACAAGAAAACAAAGAACAAGTCAACTGGAGCATACATTGAGGGAAACAAAACACAGAGTGTTGGAGATTCAGAAAATACAATGTGGCCAACCTTGTTCTGACTGACCATTGAATTTCAAAAACCTGGTTACTCATTTTCGCTGTTCAAGGAATTTTCAGCCTTTTGTAGAAAAACATCACTGAGGTCTCTGATTAATTTTACTATATCACGTAATGTCTATCTTCTCGCAATTAATATTAATATACTGTTTCAGGAAGAAATAATATACAGGCAAATCTGCAAACACTTGAAGTTACCAACTGGAAAGAGAGGACTAATCACAGAGATAAATGGAGGTGGGTGATATCTGCTGCAGTGAACCTCAACAGCTCAGAATGCTGAAGAAAAAGATGCGAAAGAAGATGAAGAAAAAGGAAAGGAGGAGAAGAAGAAGATACTGGTTCAATAACATTTATATCAATTTATTATCTCAGTTTTTTGTGTGTTTTTTTAATGTACTACATTAATATTTTGGTCAAAGTCAAATCATCTTTACCTGAACGGATCCAAGACTTTTGAAATGTGAAGATGGAGTTTTATCAAACCTCAGAATGCTTTGCCATACATACAGCTTGGTGATGTTTGCCTGTGGAAATTATTAGCTTATTAATCACAGGAAGTTGGTAGCTCATTTTAAGAGGACAAGAAACTATTCATGTTAAATATCAACACAAGGTTCTTTCTCCCAGTCCCCCTGACATCTTCAGGGCAAGACATTTACAGAAGAACAATTAAACATGTTAAGTATTTATCTATTATATTACTTCTATGGCAAGATATTTACAGAAGAACAATTAAACATGTTAAGTATTTATCTATATTACTTCTATGGCAAGATATTTACAGAAGAACAATTAAACATGTTAAGTATTTATCTATATTACTTCTATGGCAAGATATTTACAGAAGAACAATTAAACATGTTAAGTATTTATCTATATTACTTCTATGGCAAGATATTTACAGAAGAACAATTAAACATGTTAAGTATTTATCTATATTACTTCTATGGCAAGATATTTACAGAAGAACAATTAAACATGTTAAGTATTTATCTATATTACTTCTATGGCAAGATATTTACAGAAGAACAATTAAACATGTTAAGTATTTATCTATATTACTTCTATGGCAAGATATTTACAGAAGAACAATTAAACATGTTAAGTATTTATCTATATTACTTCTATGGCAAGACATTTACAGAAGAACAATTAAACATGTTAAGTATTTATCTATATTACTTCTATGGCAAGATATTTACAGAAGAACAATTAAACATGTTAAGTATTTATCTATATTACTTCTATGGCAAGATATTTACAGAAGAACAATTAAACATGTTAAGTATTTATCTATATTACTTCTATGGCAAGACATTTACAGAAGAACAATTAAACATGTTAAGTATTTATCTATATTACTTCTATGGCAAGATATTTACAGAAGAACAATTAAACATGTTAAGTATTTATCTATATTACTTCTATGGCAAGATATTTACAGAAGAACAATTAAACATGTTAAGTATTTATCTATATTACTTCTATGGCAAGATATTTACAGAAGAACAATTAAACATGTTAAGTATTTATCTATATTACTTCTATGGCAAGATATTTACAGAAGAACAATTAAACATGTCAAGTATTTATCTATTATATTACTTCTATGGCAAGATATTTACAGAAGAACAATTAAACATGTTAAGTATTTATCTATATTACTTCTATGGCAAGACATTTACAGAAAAACAATTAAACATGTTAAGTATTTATCTATATTACTTCTATGGCAAGATATTTATAGAAGAACAATTAAACATGTTAAGTATTTATCTATATTACTTCTATGGCAAGATATTTACAGAAGAACAATTAAACATGTTAAGTATTTATCTATATTACTTCTATGGCAAGACATTTACAGAAGAACAATTAAACATGTTAAGTATTTATCTATATTACTTCTATGGCAAAATATTTACAGAAGAACAATTAAACATGTTAAGTATTTATCTATATTACTTCTATGGCAAGATATTTACAGAAGAACAATTAAACATGTTAAGTATTTATCTATATTACTTCTATGGCAAGACATTTACAGAAGAACAATTAAACATGTTAAGTATTTATCTATATTACTTCTATGGCAAGACATTTACAGAAGAACAATTAAACATGTTAAGTATTTATCTATATTACTTCTATGGCAAGACATTTACAGAAGAACAATTAAACATGTTAAGTATTTATCTATATTACTTCTATGGCAAGATATTTACAGAAGAACAATAACATTTTATGATACCCAGTTTTTAGACTGAGTTAATCCTATAGTCACATAGACATAAAAGAATTCCAGATCTGAACCTAGGAACTCTAGACATGTAGGTGAGTGCATAAGCCAATTATGCTACAGTGGCTGTTATAGCTTACTTTTTAGTATAATTTTTATTACATTTTCAAAGAAGTACACAGAGTGAGGAAAATTCATCATTTAAAAAAAGTACACTTATTACTTACAAACGATCCGGTGAAGACAAAAGTGACATTTTGTTCTTTCACTGTATATGGTGGTAGGTTAGGACGGATGCAAACTGAGTGGTCATGGCTCTAAAAGATCCAAACAATTTATTTAAATGTATGTTCTACAGACCTCAGGCGAATCACATATAGTATATTTTCTCAGTATTCTTATTTTAATGAAAACAACTGTTTTTAAACTTTGCTGGACAAAAGTGATTTTAAATGCATTACAATTCACAAAAAGTCTGAAACTGGTAAAGATCAGAATTTGCTATCCAACATCAATGTTACAGCACTTTAGACATGCCCATATGTGTTCTGTCTTTCTCAGGAATGTTAAATAATGTGCACCCTTTTAGCTCCAGTGCTTATATCTTATCTATGCAATCTACTTTGGTAGCTACTACATGCTGCTACTGCCAGACTGCATTACTGATTCCATTAGTCACGACTACACATGTGCACTGATGTTTCATGCACCAGGCAATCATGTATAAACATTACAATGTCTCTATCGTTCAACCTTATTGTTTTTCCTAATGTGCTCTGGAGGCCAGCCAATCAGCCTTCTCGTTTCTTGGTATGACATGGAAAATAGAACCACTCTAGTTGGTGTGAGGACTGTGCATGAGTCAATTATTTGTGCACGAAATGTCCGAATGTAACCTTCTAGAGCAATGAATAAGAATAAGTTATGATGACTGCCTAATTCAAAAGGGTATGAGAAAGCCATCTCAGAGCTGCAATGACAACCTTGGCATCCACTTCATGCTGAACTTCATTCTTGAGTATGTTCCATTCTGTTATGCAATAATCTTGCCCCTTCATCTAGAAGCGAAATCCTATCTTGATCTCACAACTCACAGCATGCAGCCCCCGTCCATCTCCCACTGCCGCCCAGTGATACCTAAAAGGAAGAATGATACTTCTTCTTCTTCTTATTTCTTCTATGCATTCACTGGCTGTAAACTCCAGTGGAAAGTTTTATTGTTTGTCCACTTCTGGACTGCAGTCCATTTTCAGAACCTGAGTGTTGCGTGTGCATCCGTTTGACAGATCTGACTCATTTGTGTGCAGACTGTTGGTACCTTGCCTCTTAGGCAGATGCACTCTGACTTTGAAGGAAGCTCCCAATTAGTCAACACTTACGACATGCTTTTGGGAAGGCAGTGGGTCTATTCTTGGCCCCGGAACCACCACAGGGACGAATGATACTAGAGTATGAATAAATGAGTTCAAGTGTGAAAAAGATAGTATTTTAATTTCATGCCAATCCAACCTCCTATTTACACTGATACATACCATAGCTTCTAAGACAATGGTGAGGTTTTGTAAATCTGGGCTGACAATTGTTACGTAGCTGCCTCCACTGTTCAACATCCCAACACCGTGTCCATGAGACAGGTACTTCCAGCCTGGTTCAGTGAACTGTGTTGTGTGGGCTGTGTGAAGAAGATACTGCAATGCAATTTTATGTGGAATAAGTTTTAACATTCAAGTAACTATTGTTGGAACATCTGTACAACTGCTCAAGTAGCCTCGAGGACAACTGTTGGCCCAGAACAAACATCATGCAGAATACTTGCTGCTTCTTCTTCAGGTGGCTGATCTGGTGCAAACACAGTTAATCATGAGTTTCCAATCCTCTCTGCCAGGGCTATTCAACTGGCAGCCTGCAGGCCAACTATGGCCTGCGGAGTTCTAGCAAGTGGCCCGGAGATAATTTCCAACTGGAAATTGTACCAGTGATATTTCTATGTTGGGGTTCGTGCCTCTAGCCTGCGAAGATCCCCACTTTGAACATTCTGGCCCCTGAGTAAACTTAGTTGAATAGCTCTGCTGTCTGATATTTAGATGCCATTGCCCTGTATGGTGGGTTCCAGGGCCTCACTTGGGTTGAGGACAGACACATTGCCCTTAACAATTATGCCACAAATAGTGACTAATTTAAGGATTGCTGAAATTGAATTTTGTTGGGTTGGAAGCAGAGATATTCCAGTCTAGCTGTAAAACCCAATATAACACGCCAACCACATTTTTTAAACACAGAAAAAATAAGATTTTGTTGAAGTTGCTGTTCTTTTTCTCCCAGGTAGATGTACTCTAACTTTGAAGATAGCTCCCAGTTAGTCAACTCTTATGACATGCTTACTGGGGAGGCAGTGAGTCTATTCTTGTTGTCCCCATAATGGGGACCCAGATTATGCAAAAACAGTGGTTTCTAACTATTTTGACTTGTAAAGTCCTTTTTTGCAATCAATTTAGCTGTTAATGCCTCAGTATTCTTGATCCCCAAGATCTGTCTTCAATTTCCTGGTTTGTTGCAGTCTAATATAAATCTGACAGCACCTTCCCCTCCTACCTTTTTTTCCCCTCACTCTGTCCAGCTCATTACTCACTAGTCTATCTAAATAAATATACAACCAATGTCAGTACTTCCTTCTCTCTGTAGGCAAGAAACTCAAACAAATGTTTTACATTTACTTTGTTGAACCTTGTTTTAATTTCTTATGTTTAATGTTGATATTGCTGCTTTTGTATATCTCATTTCTGTTGAATTTATTTTTCTTAAAGAAGTAATTATTTGTCAGTTACCTTCATCAATGTAGTGGACTTCATTCTTCTTCTGTGAGTGCCATTCAAAGGGCAGTTAACACACTGTGTTATGGTTTACAGATAGGTGCGATATCTGCATCTTTCTGCCCAACACATCTGATTTCAGCAATCCTCTAATACAGGAACATTTAACTAAGTTTTACTCAGGGCACAAAAAGCATCATCGCAGACCACAGACCCAAGCTCGGGCATAAAAAGGTCAATAATACAATTGGCAGGTGAACCATGGACCACTCACTAGGCCTCTGCGGGTCTGATTTGGACCATGGGCTGCCAGTTGAATAGCCCTGTTCTAATAGTTCACTTTATAATGACACACTAATCATTGAAGCACTGGCTCTATCCTCCCCCAATGGGGCCTCTTAGGGAATAGTGAACTTCATAAAATGGACAGCATATAGTTTTCACAATCTTCCCCGGGACTTGTCTGGGACAGAAAGGCAGCAAGGAAGGTATCTGATGACTTCTCTTGTTTATACCAGGGCTTAAAATGTGGGAAGGCTTAACACTACGGTTCCATGGCCTAGAAGTTAGTGAATGCGGTTAACAATGTCATGATCCTTAAGTGCTGGGGCTTGTTACCCTACAGTGGATAGTTTAAAAAAAAATGTGTTTTCATTCATTTTGGACAATGGTACAAGAATCACACCATAGAAGAGAATGGGATCACACCAAATAATATTCCCCAAAATAGCAGTGGTACCCTAAAGTCAACCTTCATTGTGGAGACTGCATAGATGCTCTTGTTTTAGCACAGTACACATCAAGGCAGTATCTGTTGTGGGATTACTTTTACCTTTCAACAAACCTACCAGCTCTATGGATCGGTTCTTACCTGACATCCAGACAGGGCTTTCCACAATGTAATTGCCACTCCACGGCTCTCTGGCTGTCATCAGTGACGTCCGATCCCAGGGTAGGCTCTGGTGAAAGCTGTCAATCAAATTCCATGCGATTGTGCTGGGAAGTACAAAGTGGATATTTCTTGTAAAAGAATGTTTCTATTTATTTAATTTAACCTTTTTTTTTTTTTGAAACTATGAATGGAGTAACTGATTTGTTAATATTAAGGTTGTCAGTACAAAAAAACTATGAAACTTCTTCTTCGCGTTCATCTTTTATCTTATTCTAGAAACTGTGTCTCATGATGATGATGATTATGGTATTTCCAGGCAGAAAAAAAAAGGGGGAGGTATACTGTTCTTTAACACTTTAGTATACTGTTCTTGATCACTTTGGTATACTGCTCTGGATCCTTTTGGTATACTGTTCTTGATCACTTTGGTACCCTATTCTTGATCACTTTGGTACACTGTTCTTGATCACTTTGGTATACTGTTCTTTGCCAATTTGGTAGACTGCTCTTGAACACTTTGGTACACTGTTCTTGATCACTTTGGTATACTGTTCTTGATCACTTTGGTATACAGTTCTTGATCACTTTGGTATACTGTTCTTGATAAAACCGCACTTTTTACAAGCTCGTTCAATACTGAAGCAGGTCCTTGTATTTTATTTCCCCCCAACAGAACAGTCTAATATTTTAGGTAGTGATAGGATGGGATGGGGAATTCCCGGTACATTACGTGTCGCAGTGTGTTATTTGTATGGGAGATTCCCGCAGAGTGAATTGTTTTGTTTTGTGTCATCATCATCATTATCATCAACCACTTCTGCGGTTAAGTTGCGTTCCAGTGCATTTGTGTTTTGTAATCATCATCATCAACCACTTCTGTCGTGAAGTGGCTTGACGTGAAGCGGCGTGGGGAGGAATAATTTGCGTTCCAGTGCAAGGAATAATTCTCAATCCAGTGCATTTGTGTTTTGTCATCATCAATATCATCAACTACTTCTGCCGTGAAGCGGCGTGGGGAGGAATAATTTGCGATCCTGTGCGTTTATGTTTTGTTATCATAATCATTATCGTCATCTCCTTCTGCCGTTGAGTGGCATGGGGAAGAATATTTTGCGGTCCGGTGCATTTGTGCTTTATCATCATCATTATCATCAACCTCTACCTAAAGCGCCGTGGGAAGGAATAATTTGCGATCCAGTACATGTATGCTTTGTCATCATCATTATCATCAGCTACTACTGCAATTATGCTGCGTGGGGAGGAATAATTCCCGATCCACTACATTTGTTCTTTGTCATCATTATCACTATCATCAACTACTTCTGCCGTTAAGCGGCGTGGGGAGGAATAATTTGCGTTCCACTGTATTTGTGTTTTGTCATCACCATCATCATCTACTTCTGCCGTTGAGCGACGTGGGCGGGGGGAGGGGGGGGGAGAGAAATTTGCGATCCAATTCATTTGTGTTTTGTCGTCTTCATTATCATCAACTACTTCTGCCGTTAAGCTGGGTGGGAAGAAATAATTTGCAATCCATTGCATTTGTGTTTTGTGATCATCTACTTCTGCCGTTAAGCGGCTTCGGGAGGAATAATTTGCGATCCACTGCATTTGTGTTTTGTCATCATCATTACCTACTTCTGCCGTTGAGCGACGTTAGGAGGAATAATTTGCCATCCAGGGCGTTTGTGCCTTATCCTCATCATCATTATCATCAACAACTTTTACCGCAAAGCATTGTGGGGAAGAATAATTTGCGATCTAGTGCATGTGTGCTTTGTCATCATCATCATTATTATCAGCTACTTCTGCCGTTAAGCGGCGTGGGGAGGAATAATTTGCGATCTAGTGCATTTGTGTTTGTCATCATCATCATCCACTCCTGCCGTTAAGCGGCGTGGGGAGGAATTATTTGCGATCCAGTGCATTTGTGTTTTGACATCATCATCATCTATTTTCGCCGTTGAGCGGCGTGGGGAGAAATTATTTGCGATCCAGTGCATTTGCGTTTTGTCATCATCATCATCTACTTCTGCCGTTAAGCGGCGTAGGGAGGAATAATTTGCGATCCAATTCATTTGTGCTTTGTCGTCTTCATTATCATCAACTACTTCTGCCGTTAAGCTGGGTGGGAAGGAATAATTTGCAATCCATTGCATTTGTGTTTTGTGATCATCTACTTCTGCCGTTAAGCGGCTTCAGAAGGAATAATTTGCGATCCACTGCATTTGTGTTTTGTCATCATCATTACCTACTTCTGCCGTTGAGCGGCGTTAGGAAAAATAATGTGCCATCCAGGGCGTTTGTGCTTTGTCATCATCCTCATTATCATCAGCTACTTCTGCCGTTAAGCGGCGTGGGGAGGAATAATTTGCGATCCGCTGCATTTGCGCTTTGTCATCAACATCACTATCATCAACTACTTCTGCTGTTAAGCGGCGTAGGGAGGAATAATTGCAGATCCAGTGCGTTTGTGTTTTGTCATCATTATCATCTACTTCTGCCGTTAAGTGACACGGGGAGGAAAATTCTGCGATCCAGTGCAGTTGTGCCTCATCCTCATCATCATTATCATCAACTTTTACCGTAAAGCATTGTGGGGAGGAATAATTTGCGATCCAGTGCATTTGTGTTTTGTCATCATCAATTTCATCAACTACTTCTGCCTTGAAGCGGCGTGGGGAGAAATAATTTGCGATCCAGTGCATTTGTCTTTTGTCATCATCAATATCATAACTATTTTTGCCGTGAAGCGGCGTGGGGAGGAATAATTTGCGATCCTGCGATCCAGTGCATTTGTGTTTTGTAATCATCATCATCATCATCAACTACTTGTACCGTGAAGCAGTGTGGGAAGGAATAATTGGTGATCCAGTGCATTTGTGTTTTGTAATCATCATCATCAACCACTTCTGCTGTTAAACTGCCTGGAAAGGAATAATTTGCCATCCAGGGCATTTGTGTTTTAAAATCATCATTATCATCAACCACTTCTGACGTGAAGTGGCCTGGGGAAGGAATAATTTGCGAACAAGTGCATTTGTGTTTTGTTATCATCATCATAATCAACCACTTTTCCCATCTATACTTCCATCGCTCCTTTACATTCTGGCTTTTACCAGTTTTACGCGTGGGCTGGACTGATTAATTTGTATAACAAGCATCCTTACTGTCTCTATTCGATAGCTGACAATAAGAGCGAAGCATCTTATCACGAGAGCCTTGTTTTTACCAGATTTTATATATTAGCACACATAGATCTGCGGTGTCCGTGGCTAAGGCATTGCGAGTCTGACTCGTAATCCAACGTATCGCGATCGAAACCCACTGCGTGCTGCGTGGATTTTTTATCGTGGTATGGGACGTCGCTGGTCCACCCAGCCTCCTATGGGTACCAGGATGGGCTGTCCTGTGAAAGTAAAGACGGCAGGCGTAATGCTGACCACATTACCCACCGAGTGCCGATTGGTCTGTAAAAATATGGGTGCCCTTTCCATATGCCTGATGCGCCTAAGGGCGTGTACAGGGATCTTTACTTACTTTACTTTACTTACACATAGATCCATCCATCTATCTACAATTCCATTCTTCAACTAAGATAGCCAGCTTTTATCCCATCCATTCATCTACCCACCCATCTATCTCACCTCACCATCCACCCATGCTATTTTTCCATCACTTCCTTACATTCTGGTTTTTACAAGTTCTGTGCTCGGTTCGATTGATACTTTGTATAACAATCACCCTTACTGTCTCTATTCCATAGCTGACAGTAACAGAGAAGCATCGTGTTATGAGACCCTTGTTTTTACCTGATTTCATTTATTGGCACACTGTCTGTCTTTCTGTCTGTTTCTCTATCTGTCTGTCTATCTATCTATCTGTCTGTCTGTCTGCCTGCCTGTCTATCAGTCAGTCAGTCAATCAATCAATCAATCCATCCATCCATCCATCCATCCATCCATCCATCCATCCAGCCAGCCAGCCAGCCAGCCAGCCAGCCAGCCAGCCAGCCAGCCAGCCAGCCAGCCAGCCAGCCAGCCAGCCAGCCAGCCAGCCAGCCAGCCAGCCAGCCAGCCAGCCAGCCAGCCAGCCAGCCAGCCAGCCAGCCAGCCAGCCAGCCAGCCAGCCAGCCAGCCAGCCAGCCAGCCAGCCATCTATCTATCTATCTATCTATCTATCTATCTATCTATCTATCTATCTATCTATCTATCTATCTATCTATCTATCTATCTATCTATCTATCTATCTATCTATCTATCTATCTATCTATCTATCTATCTATCTATCTATCTATCTATCTATCTATCTAAGTATGTGAGTGTATGCATGGATGTGTGTATGTGTGTATGTATGCAAGTATGTATGTGTGTAAGTATGGGAGTGTATGTATGGATGTGTGTATGCATGTAGATGTAGTCCATGTATGCGTATACATGTGGATGTATGTATGCGTCCATATATGTATGTAGGTGCATGTATTATGTATGTCTGTATATGTATGAGAATGTGTCTATGTAAATGTAGCTGTGTAAGTATATGGGTGTATTTGGATTCATGTATGTATGTGGATGTTTGTCGGTATATGTAGCTGTGTAGGTATGTAGATGTGTGTGTGTGTGTGTGTGTGTATTTATGTATAAATGTATGTAAGTATGTGGGTATGTATTATGTATGTGTATGTATGTATAAAAGTATCTACATGTGTGTATATATGTATATATAAACTGTGTGTGTGTGATTGTGGGTGTGTGTGTGTGCATGCATGTGGATATATGAATGTATATTTAAGTTTGTATGTGTGTGTATTTATGTATATATGTTGTAAGTATGTGTGACTGTATATGAGTGTATGTGTGATTGTGGGTATGTGTGTTCATAATGTAGGCAAGTATTATGTATGCATGAGTGTATGTATGTATGTGAGTATGTATGTATGTATGTGAGTATGTATGTGAGTATGTATGTATGTTTGTATGTATGTATGTATGTATGTATGTATGTATGTATGTCTGTCTGTCTTACTGTCAGCATGCCTGTCTGTCGGGCTGCCTGTCCGTCTGATTGTATTTGTTCGCTAGCAATGGCACCACTTTTATTCCATGCGGATGTACTAGTGTCATCCTTACAACCCAACCCTGGTTACGCTATTTGCCAACCCCTTTCCCCCCCCTTTTAGACACTCAGTGAACGCTGTTGTCTCTGTTGGCGTCTACTCCGCCCATTTCTCGGGTATACCGAACCAATTTTTCGCTTCCTGTTCGCGCGTTGATGATATATAGTCTAGTACCTGTCCTATTCCTCCTATTGAACGAAGTTTATCGCCAGGGACACAGATGAGTAACATTTATTTTAAACATTAGAGTCCTATGTAGTCACTTCCTAGTTAGAGCATATTTATGTGTGTGTCCTGTGTTGTTCTTTATGTGCCGATGAAGACTAATCGCCGCAACGTCCTTTGTTTGTTTATTGTGATCGATTTTGTAAAGCTAACATAAACTATTTGTTCTTTCTTACCCCCCCCCTCCCCACCTCCCCCCCCCCCTTTTCTCTTCCCTATAATTTCCTACCTCTTTGAAATCACTTTTCTTTGAAAGAAAACATTTAGAAATGGGTAAAAAAATATATAGAAATATTAAGATTTGCGCGGGAAAGATCTAGAATAAACATTAAAATGGAAACAGTCACAAATTAAACAGCTATTGATATGACTTTATAGAATCAACGCCTCATCTTCACTGATGTCTGTTTCACAAAATCCACAGGAAAAACTTAGCTTGGATGATGAAGTTGAAGCTTCAGTTCCAAAATGACTGGTATGTTTCAGCTGTTTCAATTTCTCTCAACACACAAATCACAAAACAACCTAGCGTAAACTGGATGGCAAATTATTCCTCCCCACGCCGCTTATCGGCAGAAGTAGTTGATGATAATGATGATGACAAAGCACAAATGAATTGGATCGCAAATTATATCCCCTTCCCCACCCTCGCCCACGTCGCTCAACGGCAGAAGTAGATGATGATGATGACAAAACACAAATGCCCTGGATCGCAAATTATTCCTCCCCACGCCGCTTAATTGCAGAAGAAGCTGATGATAATGATGATGATGACAAAGCATACATGCACTGGATCAGAAATTATTCCTCCCCACGCCGCTTAATTGCAGAAGAAGCTGATGATAATGATGATGATGACAAAGCATACATGCACTGGATCGCAAATTATTCCTCCCCACGCCGCTTTACGGTAAAAGTTGATGATAATGATGATGATGATAAAGCCCAAATGCACTGGATCGCAAAATATTCCTCCCCACGCCGCTTAACAGCAGAAGTAGTTGATGATAGTGATGTTGATGACAAAGCACAAATGCGGCGGATCGCAAATTATTCCTCCCCACGCCGCTTATCGGCAGAAGTAGTTGATGATAATGATGATGACAAAGCACAAATGAATTGGATTGCAAATTATCTCCCCCCCCCCCCCCCCCCGGCCGCTCAACGGCAGAAGTAGATGATGATGATGACAAAACACAAATGCACTGGATCGCAAATTATTCCTCCCCACGCTGCTTAATTGCAGAAGAAGCTGATGATAATGATGATGATGACAAAGCATACATGCACTGGATCGCAAATCATTCCTCCCCGCGCCGCTTTACGGTAAGTTGATGATAATGATGATGATGATAAAGCACAAATGCACTGGATCGCAAAATATTCCTCCCCACGCCGCTTAACAGCAGAAGTAGTTGATGATAGTGATGTTGATGACAAGCACAAATGCGGCGGATCGCAAATTATTCCTCCCCACGCCGCTTATCGGCAGAAGTAGTTGATGATAATGATGATGACAAAGCACAAATGAATTGGATTGTAAATTATCCCCCCCACCCCCCCCCCCGGGCCGCTCAACGGCAGAATTAGATGATGATGATGACAAAACACAAATGCACTGGATCGCAAATTATTCCTCCCCACGCTGCTTAATTGCAGAAGAAGCTGATGATAATGATGATGATGACAAAGCATACATGCACTGGATCGCAAATCATTCCTCCCCACGCCGCTTTACGGTAAGTTGATGACAATGATGATAATGACAAAACACAAATGCACTGGATCGCAAATTATTCCTCCCCACGCTGCTTAATTGCAGAAGAAGCTGATGATAATGATGATGATGACAAAACATAAACGCACTGGATCGCAAATTATTCCTCCCCACGCCGCTTAATGGCAGGAGTAGTTGATGATGATGACAAAACACAAATGCACTAGATCGCAATGCAATTTATTGATCCCCACGCCGCTTAACGGCAGTAATTGATGATGATGATGACAAAATACAACAAACAATACACTCTTCGCCACGTAATGTACCGGAAATTCCCTATTCCATATTATCACTGTTTAAAATGTCTATTTTTGGAACACCCCCAAGATATTAGACTGACCCTTTATCTTTGAAATGGGGGGAGATAATAGACAAGGACCCTGAAGCAACATGATCACTTAAAAATGCCAGCTCTGAGGGAGTTTGAACTCAGGACCAGTAAAACTACTTTTCAAGCACTAGCCATTAATTTAGAGCATCTCATATCAGTATCATACAGGGAGATGAATGAGATAATTACCTTGTCATTAAACCTTGGACATAATTCTGGTTGAGAATCTATAAAGAAAAGAAATTCAAAAAGGGACTGCATTAAACAATTGTACAAGGTATAAGGTCACAAAACACAAAACCTTTATTGTAATTCAAAAAAAAAAAAAAAAAAAGAACATTCACTTAAGGAAATGTTATCCTTTGGTGTGTAACAATCTTTAAAAAAAAAATTACTTTCTCACAAAGTGTGTTGCACAAGAACACACCCTTGTAATTACCTTAAGATACTAGAGGAAGAGCACAGAAGAATTTTGCAATCTTGGTCAGCTTTTATAAAAATCCAGCGTGTTCTGTTTCTGTTTAAACAACGGATCAACATCATGGCACAAGGGTGGTAACCCATAAGTGCTCCATTCTACTTCTAGCTCAAGCCTGAGTCTGAAGAATCTCAGCGCAGCGCATGAACTCTGTAGCACGGGCGAGGATCCTGAAATACTTTGGGTAGATTTGTAACTCCAAATTTTGCCCTGCAGTGCCTTTGGGCTACTCTTTACGATTTCCAACTGCCAAGTGATTTTTTACGTGCGCAGCAATACATACCAACATCCGATCTTACTACCCAGAGACCAGGGGAAATTACTAGAAATTGTCACATATCGCTCCTGTCGCGTGCCTGATTTAAGGATTTCTCCTTAAGAACCAACAGCACTCTGAAATAATTATGTTGAGTCGTTGGCTCGTATTGGTGTAAGGGAATCCCCGTGGCCAATATACGCTCAACTTATTTCAGGAGTAGGGCAACTCAAGCTTTGGCACTACAAAATACATAATATTCCTATTGTCGCGTGCGAATGTGCACCAGAACGCACCAGTACGGAGTGAGCAAATAAGACGTCAAAACAATACGTAACGTTGTTATGATAATATTGTTGTCTGAGCAGTTGATGTTTATAGTCCGAAGGAGACGGACGTGGGGATCCTTGAGGACGCTTTACCCCGGGATCCCACGGAAGCAAACGTTATATAAAGTTGGATCCTTGAGGACGTTTTACCCCGGGACTCCAAGACCTCAGCAGGAAGCTGGTGAGCACTACATTCTCGGCAGTATGCCGGTATACTTTCATTGCTTAATTCGGACTTGTCCGAGGAGAAAGTAAATCGTCTGGATCTCAAGGTCGGACTGCGACCTATCGTAAGGACATAACCGTCCACGGATGTACGAGTGAGCTTTGGTTGAACGAGTTGATTATTGATTGCATATGTATTTCTCCTTGTATTGCTGATCGTATATATCAATACAACCATTGGAACTTAACGCATAGCGTTCGAGCTCTACATTCTGAAAGCATTGAAGTAACTACTGTTTTACCCCTACTTGGCCTAATTCATCTTGGTACCACACACATCAGCATGAAGCTCTGCACGTCACAATGAAGGTCCGCACGTATCAATCAATGGGGGCCAGCCTTTAAAGAATGAGGGACCTCTCGTCACAAGTGTGATACGACATTTTGTCGCATTGTTGTGCCTCAAGTTGTACACGAAGCACATTCCAATTGTCACAGTCTTTACCAATCTCTAGCTGTGGATATCGTTCAATGTATCAAGTCGCCGCCGCCGGTCTGTTCTAGCCATCGTTGGATCTTCATCGGGACCATATCATTCTTCGTTCGTTGGATCTTCATCGGGACCGTATCATTCTTCTTCGTTGGATCTTCATCGGGACAGTAGCACTCTTCGTTGGATCTCCGTATCATACTTCGCTGGATCTTCATCATAATCAAGTCACCGTTACTGACTGTGCCACTTTCCGTTCGATTGAATCGGATCAAGTCGTCCTTTTGGTTGTACATTGATCTGCTACTTGCCGTTGTACCGGTCGTTATTTAGCGATTTTTCATCGCTAACATTGCAGTGTGTTGTTTGTCTGCCACCCAATTGGTAAGTCAATTGTGGTTGTTGTGGTTTCTGTTGCGCTGACATTTTAACTCTTTCCTCCAGAGAACAGACCTGGTTTTCCCGTGCGCAAGTGGAGAGCGACATTAATTGTTACGTGTTATCAAGTAAGCGGGAGGTTGGGCGGTGAGAGCCTTATTCGATATTTCAACTAGCTCACCACTAGAGTGTCATATCGTCTTTGGCTCTGTCTGTAGCCAACTTCAACCCTCGGAGTGGTCCCCATTATAACAGGGAGATAGTTTATCTATTCGCGACTCTGTGGATTGATTTAGGCTAAAGTGTCTAAGTCCGGTCTCGTCACGTCCTGTACGTTTAGTTTGTAATAGTGCTACCTGGTGTTCTTTCGACGATTGTCCCTTCTCTATCTGTTAGTTCCATTGGTGTATTTGTGGAGTCATTTTTTTTATTATCGTCTGTCAGACTCGTCGCATTGTACGTGTGTGACAGTACGCAGTATTCGTTGTCCTGTAGCGTCACTTCACCACACACTATCATATATATCATATATTGTATATTGATTGTCATATTATTTAAATATGTCTACATTTGCTGAGTTTTTGGAGTTAGGTCGTAGTATAGGCCTAGAAAATGGACAACTCTTAGCTTTCGCCGAAGCCAGAATGAAAGAGTTGTCGGACAGAGATAACCAGTTACGCGATGAGAGAACAGCAGAACGCGCCTGGAAAAAAGAAATGGAGTTGGAGAAATTACGCATGGAAAAAGAAGCTGAGGCTGAGAAACTACGCTGGGAAAAAGAAGCTATGGCGGAGAGACTGCGTTTCGAAATGGAGACTAATTTGGAAAGGTTACGTTTGGAGAACGAATTAGAACTAGCGCGTATAGATAGAGACAAGGTTGTTGCTGTGTCAGAATCAGAGAGCCGTCGTCTTGTGACTAGTAGCCGTTCGGGTTCCGAACAAGGGGCATGTGTATACATACCCAAATTACCGTTTCTTACACCTACAGAAGATCTTCATAATTTTTTGGATCGCTTCTCTTTAGCGATGAATACCGCTAAGATACCAGAGGAACAATGGGTATCTCGTTTAAGGGATTTGCTAACGGGACCAGTTTTGAACACGTTCACGAACTTATCAGAAGACGAACGCGCGTCGTTCGAAATAGTCAAACAAAAACTGTTGGCGTCGAAGTGCATGACCGAAGAAGGTTACCGTGTGCAGTTTAAATCTGTTGTGCCATCCGTCGATGGAAGTTTCGCTGATTTTGTGGCCCGCGTTAGAACGTTGTTTACGCGTTGGGTGACATTGGCAGATGTTAAAAACTCTTATGATAAGTTGGCTGATCTCATTATTCGAGATAAAATTTTGTCTTCATGTAGTTCGGAGATGTTCTCATTTTTTCAAGAAAGGAAACCGAAGTCAGTTGAGGAGATGACAACATTGGGAGAACAGTATGTCACTGCACATCCTGGTAAACCATTGCACAACCCCAGGTTCGAGGACATACTCCCAGCTGCATCCAGTATTAGGGTGCACCACAACGCCTCGTCAAATCGGCCCGGGTGGAACAAATGCCATAATAGGCAGGGGCGCTATCGCAGCCACAGCGAACAGAGACAACCACCCCATAGAGATCAAACGTCCAAAAAGCAGGGTGAACATTATCAACCCCGTTCATCTGCTTGTTCAATCTGTCTTTCGTGGAGACACAAAAGTCCCGATTGTCCCCACAAGCGACACAGGAAAGATGATGACGATGGTCCATCTTCACGAGGTAGGTTTCAACGCAACACAGGTCCTATAAGGTGCTATGTATGCCGTGGTTTCCATAAACGTTCTGAGTGCCCAAGGGTTATGAACAGTCATGCTAATTCCGCGCAAACAGTAAACGCAGCGATGTCACAAAAAGTGACAAATTTAGCAGACGGTCAGGTTCGAATCCATCCAGAAATTGTTTACCCAGCGTTGTCAGCTGTACCACTGGAGGCTGGTTTGCCTTTGCATAATGGTTATGTTGGAAACATAAAATCTAAAGTATTACGTGACACGGGCGCCAATGTTATAGGAGTGGCTAGATACCTAATCCCCAAATCGGCATACTTAGGTCGGTATTGCAAGTGTCGTACTTTTGGTGGTCGTTTAGAAAGATTTCCTTTAGCAAAAGTCTATTTAAATAACCCGTATTTTCAAGGGGTTGCCGAAGTGTGTGTTTTGGAGAGACCGTCAGCGGACGTACTCCTTGGATCAGTTCCAGGAGCAAAGATGCCCTCGCGTGAGGAAATCGAACGCTGGTATAAAGAAAAATGAGGGTGTGACTGAAGCTAATGCTGCAGTTACACGCGCTCAACAGAGAGTAAGTAACGAGGAAGCCACACCTGCGTTACAGTCAGCTACTTCGAACGAAAACCAAATAGCTATCACATGTGGGATAGCTAGCGAAGAAGCAGTAAAGAATGAACCAGAACGACCAAAAGAGCCTGGAAACGAACCACACGCACCGAAAACAAACAGTTTTGCGATACAACAACGGGCGGATCCTACCCTCACTAAATGCTTTTCTAGGGCAGAAATAACCGGTGTTAGAACATGTAAGCAAGGTACATGGCATTTTTATGTGAAGAATGGAATTTTAATGAGATATTTTAAATCACCTGTTATGCAATGTAAACAATTAGTCGTTCCTTTATGTTATAGAACCGATGTTCTGAGAGTTGCACATGACACACCTTTTGCTGCACATTTAGGTATAGGTAAAACACAGAAAAGAGTTCTTGCACAATTCTATTGGCCTGGTTGTTCCACAGATATTAGGAAATACTGTAGGTCATGTAAAGACTGTCAAATGATGGCGAGAAAGGATGCATCTCAGAAACCTCCTATTCAAAGGGTCTATCTTCCATGTCGTCCTTTCGAAAAAGTTGCTGTCGATCTTGTGGGTCCGTTACCGGTTGTTTCACAAAGAGGATTTAGATACATTTTAACATTTGTAGACATGGCATCACGTTGGGTTGAAGCAGTACCGTTACGTCATATCACTACTGAGTCAGTAGCAGAAGCATTGATGCTTATATTCTCTAGAGTAGGCTTTCCTGAAACAATTCTGTCAGATCACGGATCACAATTTATTTCAGAAGCAATGCGCTCTTT